GGCGCGAAGCGCCGCGCACACCTTCAATTTACATGCGGAATAACCTGCTCCCGGCGCCCGTGGAGAGCAACTTTGACTACATTTCTTCACTTAACACTTACTTCTAACAATTTCTTTCTCTGCCTATCCTATTTTCCTACTCCACAAAACTCCATAAGCACCGTTTTTGCAGGACAAAATTCTGGGACTAGGTGTATATGAGTGGGGCTACATAAGCTACTTTTGCCAAAAACTCAAAATAAGAAATTTTTTTAAAACCGAAGGAATCCTTTTTCTTTAAGAATAAAGTTAAAAGGAGGCGTAATTTGCTATCAAAAAGGTACAAGAGAGGATCTTTCCGTGCATGCTTTCAATAAAATATATTTGAATTTATAAAGGCAGTCAAAATCAGTGATACAAATGCATACATTTAAGTAGCCGTTTTTCGCAGAATCAACTTTTTCGCTGCGGTCAAAAAGAAACTCATCACAGAGTGGGCATCCTAGCGTGACTGAAATTAATTAAGATTGGACCGCATTATAAACAGTATTGCAGCATCTGCCATACTGTATATAGGCACACTGAATTTGGTGAACCGTGTGTCGTCATGCACCCAGAAAACAGACGGACATTGAGATAGATCTAAACAAGGACTTGAATCTAGGGAAATTGAGCAGTTCCACGATACTCTGCGCCTTACCACAGAAGTGGGGACGACGAATACAAGGTCACATTCGTTATCAGAATAGTATATGCGAAAAATAGAGAAACATGCTGGTTTGTCGGCTAGGGTATTTAAGCGACAGGCAGCGGGCTCCATTCGCACACCCCAAACGGGGATGAACGGGATGCGAATTTAGGTACTCTTCAGATATCATGAAACTCACGGGTTTTTCGTGAGAGGCCACATCACGGCGGAAGTCTGCTCTTTCTTGCTCCTCCAACGCAGCCGTTTCCATGGACCTAATGAGTGCCTCAGTTGCCGCACAATCAGCACAGATTAGCCCCCCAAAGGTAGTTCCGGGTCGTAGAGACTTCTCCTTATCTCGAAACGGCCGCAAACATTCCGCACAAACTCCCCCACTGTCCACCACTGTTCGTTCTATAATCTCCTGCAGCTGATTGAAGAAACGGAAGGGTTTGAGCTGGTCCCTGCTGAAAGGAAGTCGACATATGGGACATTCTGATCGCTCCATCCGCAGAACGGTGTCGGCACAGGCAATACATAGGTAATGCTGACATGGCAGGGTTTGTGGATCGGTGTATGTCTTCAGGCAGATTGGACAGTCGGTTAGCTCGTTAAACTTTTCGGCAGAGAGGTGAAGCTGCGTCATGCTTCTTCTTCTTCTTAGTGCCATCTGTTGCAAGTGTGTGCTTACACGGCACGTACGAATAGGCTTGCGTGTGTGTGTGTGTTATCGATGCTTACGGCACTCAACACCTGTTGCAAGGTAACTGGCACGATACACGGAGTGTGCGTGCATGTGTACTGAGTTACAAGGTGAACCCATCCTTTTACGATTCCGTCTCATTTTGCTTCTGTCTGCCAAATGCCGCGAAGTTTGCGTGCCTGACAGTTAGGTTGTTGAACATATTAACTTATCCACCTACTGGATTGCCGCTTCTGAGACCGAACGTTTATATGTATATGCAATGTCAGACTTCGGCAAGCCACGGTCCTGGTAGGCGCTGGTACTTTCTCTCGGTTCTGATTTCCTGTCGATGCATGTGTTCACGCTCCCTTTGTGTTTAGGGCCCCACCTCAGGTGTCCCCGAGCAGCTAGGCGGTCGCCAGACGGTGGAAGAGAGAGTGAGGTTGACCCTCGGCGCTTTTCTATCCTCACTATAATACATATGAATGCATCCTAATCTATCAGGATGCTCATAAAGCCATGGCTCGGAGGGTTCGCCAACTGACAGGATAACTCGAGCCACTTACGTTACTGCTGCTTAAGTACGCGTGTGTTTGTGTATGCGTATGTAAGGAGATGGGAGGTTGAGAATCAGGCTGCAATGGCTCCTTCTTAATGTTGCCTTTATGGCGCTCCCGCGCACGTTGGGGCCGTCCTAGCGACATGTTTTGAGCCAAGAGAGCGCGTGCTGACTGACAATCGCGCCAGCCTCCTACACCCTCCCTCATCTCAGGTCTTTTTGACTTTGTCTTTAAACCAAAAAAAACGGAGGTGGGAGCGGCGAGCGAGTGGGTAGATTCCCCGCGAGTCTGCTT